CAAGGGTGGGCAGGACTCTTGCAGGCTCCCGCAGGGACCAGGAGTTTGCCACTCTGCACCTCATCCACACCTGCCAGCAGACATTGCTCAGCAGCATCCTCCCCCAGCCAGCAGGGCTCCCTAGGGGTACTCCGCCCATGGCAGGGCTATGCACAGGGTCTGCACACTGGCTGGAGTCCGTGTTTTGCTGAGGACAAGCAGCAGTGCTCCCATCACTGCCAGCCCTCGGGGTTGCCCCTCTCAGTCTGGGCCTCACCTCCACTGCCCTATGGCAGGGAAGAGAGCAATGGGAGGTGGTCAAGGCAGGGGTGACAGGATCTGCGTGGATTTGGACCTAAGGTGGGAACAGTGCAGGGGAGTCACTGAGGGACACAGATCTCAATCCCAGCAAGGGGACTGAGGCCAAGACCCCTGGGCCCATCGGAATCTGGGCTGGAGGGTGGCTGGTGGGAGCACATGTGGACAGGACAGGTTTTGTGTTCATGGGTGCACGGTTGTGAATGAAATGCAGTGTGCACCGTGTGATGACGCCCTGGGAGGGACCTTGCAGTCAGGTTTTCTTCTAAGCAGATGCCATCATTGGCGAGATAGCAGCGGGGCCTAAAGCAGTGGCCTAGAGGAAGAAGGCAGGGCCCTGGGAGCCCCAGCAGCCGAGGGAGGACAGCCAGGCTTTCGGGTGTAGGGTGGCTGCTCCACAGGCCATTGGAGTCTTTAAAGACTGAACAATAGATGCATTTTAAGAGAAAAAAAGCAAACATTTCCTTAAATACCAATGTTGGTTTCTGGTTGTGCTCTCTCCATCTCAGGTGAACGTGTACGTGCTGGGAAAGACGTTTCTTCTCTTGGCCAGAGAGCTCTGCATCAATGCGCCGGCCATAGGTAGGCATCTGGGTGAGCTGCTGGGGTGTCCAGCAGGCTGCTGTAGGGACCAGCGTGCCAAATGTCCTTTGAGCAGGCCGGGCGCCGTGGCTCAAGCCTGTGATCCCAGCACTTTGGGAGGCCGAGGCGGGCGGATCACGAGGTCAGGAGATCGAGACCATCCTGCCTAACCCGGTGAAACCCCGTCTCTACTAAAAAAAAAAAAAAAAAGTGTCCTTTGAGCAGCGGAGGGAAATCCTGTCCAAGTACGGGACCCCCCAAAGTAAGAAATGTCTCTTAAAGCTGCTAGGAGCTCAGCAATGTGGGGCCTTATTTTCTAAGACAGAGTCTCGCTGTTGTCCAGGCTGGAGTGCAGTGGCATGTTCATAGCTCACTGCAGCCTCAAACTCCTGGGCTCAAGTGATCCTCCTGCCTTGGCCTCCCAAAGCGCTGGGATTACAGGCATGAGACTGCACCTGGCCTGGGGCTTGCTTTCTGCTGCAAAACCAGAAGGCCCATTGTCAGTGCCTGTCAGGTGTGCAGGAAGGTGTAGACAGAGGGAAACAGAAGCGCTGTGTGCTGGGAAAATCTTGTGTGGACAAGGTTTAAGGAACACACCTGGCACCAGGTGCCTCTGGACAGATGGGGACAGTGGGGCAGCTCCTGGATGTGCTTTCCAGCCACAGCCCTCTTTTGTGGTTTTTCTGCCACTTTTGTTCTGTGTTGAGTGCCCAGTGTTGTGCGAGTTTATGGAGCTCCTGTATGCCTTTCTTGATATATGTTAGGTGTAGGGTAAGTCGTGTTTCCCCCTCAAGGCAGCAGCAGAGTTCATGCATGCAGAATCTAACCTGGTGGAAAAGTCTAGAAGGAAAGGATCAGAACAGCACTCACTGCCTGATGGTTCTGACCTACCCTTTCTTTACCAAGCAGATGACTGCTTTCCACAGCCTGCTTAGAGCCCACTTTCTTATTTTGCCTGTCTGCATCTAGGAGCATACGTCCTTGGGGTAGAGAAGCACCAGGTGGGGCTGGGTCACCAACAGGACTGAGCAGCGTGGGCTGCAGCAGCAGAGGGATGCTGGCTGGGGCTCTACACTTGGCCCATGCCCTCTCCCAGGTGCCAAGAGGGGCCATCCCTCTTTTCAGGGGTCATACAGGTTTTCCAGAAAGCAGCTGCCTACGGGGTGTGCAGAGTGGGAGGACAGAGGCAAGAGGTGGGAGAGCTTGCTTTACCCTATAGTCCACTCCTGCAACAGGCTGTCCCGCAGCAGTGTCACAGCTAGTGACACTGTGTCCCCAGGGATCCAGAACGCTGGGCCCAGCAGAATGCTCCCCCCACAGTCCGTTCATAGGGTAGGACTCTGAGGTGCTAGTGATGCATTAGGACATAGAGACAACTAGGCACCTGGTGTTTCCCAGGGTGGCCCGGAAGCCAGCCAGCGACCCAGGGGACGGATGGGCTTCACTGGGGTGCAGTTTGCTCCAGACCACGTAGCATGTTCAGCATGACAGCTTTTCTCCTCGGGATGGGAGCTGTTCTGTTGCATGAGAAAGAGAATACCCCACTGTACAACTGTAGTCATTTACTGACACACGAGTGTTATTTTAGGCAACCTTTATTACAGAAGTCCACTATTTTAAGTGACTTTTTGCCGATTTTAGATTTGAAGGGAAGGTCTCAAGTTAAGCTTGGAACCACTTAGAATCCAAGAGGTGGCAGGAACATCCAACCCCTCAAAGCAGGTGGCGTGGGTGCCACTGGGAGGGGATCTGGGGCCTGCCTTGTGCCCTCAATCTTCCTCCACCTGAGACGTGCACCCCAGTGTACCAGAGATGCCTATGACTCCAATCCCCGGGCTCTGGCTGTGTGGAAAAGGCCTCTACTTTACACAATCAAGTTTCAGCTGACTACATGTCAGAGAGAGACAAGGCTAAGAGCAGTTAGTACATTGACTTCCGCTCCGCTCACTTGCCGATCTGCTGCAGCCTCCCCGGGCACCTCAGGCGTAGAAGATGAGCTCAGGGATCTGCCCACCCTGGACCCCAGTCCCGTTGGTGCTATCCGAGGAGCACTGGAACTGGAAGGCCACCTTTCCGCACTGCACTTCCGTCATCCCCTCCTGCCCAAAGTAGCTGAGTTCGCTGCCATCCAGGACGGCACTGGCCGTGTAGAAGGTGTCTTGTTCAACCTGGACCGGGTGTTCAAACCAGACCGGGAAGGTGTTACTGGATCCGTCTGACATGAACTTGGTCAGGTTCTGAGCCAGAACCACCCCGAGCCGCTTGAGCTCAATCTTCACGCTGTACTCAGCCTTCCCAGAGCTGGACCCATACAGGCCCAGCCCTGCAATAAATACCCTTCTGTCTACTGCAAACTGGATGCTGTCACAGCGCCCGCGGTACCGCCACTGGTTGCTGCGGTAGGCAGAAGACTGGAATCGGTGGCACCTCTGCGGGGCGAGGCCCTTCCTCTTGGTCAGGGGGAAGTCCAGGCGGGGCTTGTTGGTGGCCGTGTACCACAGGAAGATGCTGTGGGTCTCCTCCAGAGTCAGGATGTCTGACTGGGCAGCGCCATTGGCAAACTCCTCTAGGGTCATGGTTGGAATTCGGACCAGATAGAGGGCTCGCCCCAAAACATGCCTCTTGTTTCGTGGGGTGACTGGCAGCCCCTGCCTCTTGCACTCTGCCTCGGCCCAGTTCAGGACGGCCTCGAAGACCACTGCCTCCTTGGTGTTGAGGGCCTCCCGAGTGACAATAATCTCCAGCGTCTGCCGGTCTATCTCACAGAAGCCTTCGGACCGTAGGGCCATCTCGGCCTGTGCATCGATGACCTCCCAGCAGCGCTGCGTCAGCTCAGGCTCCTCAAACAGCCGGCTCTGGGACAGCAAGACACAGGCGTTCTTGGCTTCCAAACTTGTCTCCAGAAAGTTGACACAAGCTTTTGCCAATGCTGGGACGATGTACTTCTTAGCAGCGTAGAGAGTGGCCAGCACCGTGTCAGCTTCCAGATCGATCTCATCACTGTACATGTACCTAGGCGAGGCAAGGCCCGCGTCAGGGGCTGGCTCCCAAGCACCTATTGCGGGGCTGGGCCTGGGAGAGTCGTCCATCAGCTCCTGTGTGCTCCCCCTCAGAAGCCACGGGAGGCCGCCTAGAACGGAACCACCCGTCCTTCCCCAGTACAGAGTGGACTTACTTTAACAGGATCAGAAAGGCTGCGGGCTCCACGTCGGGAATGTGAATTTCAGATTTGACTTCCGCCAGGTCCCCGTAGAACATGGCATAGAAGACGGAGCTTCCGACAGCCAGGACGTACTGGGAGGAGAAAGCGCCGCCGTGAGCCTGGCTGTCCCGCGGGCTGCGGGCAGCCACACGGCAGGCGGGGCACGCCTTCCGAGAGGGGAGGGGTCGCCGCTACCCACCTTGTGGGCGGGCACCGTTCTGGTCGCCCCCGGGGGCCCCACGACGAAGTGCACGTCGGCCATGAGCTCGTTGTTAAACATGAGCGCGTTCCTGCAAAGGCAGAGGCACGGGCTGGGGGCGCGGGCGCGGGCGCGCGCGGGTGCGCGGGCCGCGGGGGGCGGGCTCACCTCTCGCGCAGCGTGGGGCGGCAGCACCGCCAGCCGGGGCTTTCCGGGTGGTTGTTGCCGAGTGTGGGGGGCGCGGGCGCGGGCGGCGGGGGCGCGGGCGCGGGGGCGCTGGGCGGGCTGCGCGGCCCGGTCTTCCTGCCCACGGCGGCACCGGCGTTGCTGTTGGCGAGGTCCGCGGCCGCGGCGCTGGCGGGGGCGTAGAGCTCCGCCGCCATCTTCGCGGGCGGGGCGGCGGGGGCGGCCTCGGCGCCTGTGGACGCCGCGCCCCGCGCCCTCGCACCGCGCCGGGGCCTTGGGAGCGGCTCTGCAAGCAAAAGCAGGGAGGTCAGGCACTGAGCAACGCGGCCATGCAGGCAGGCCAGGGGCAGCAGCATGGGCGGCGGCGGCGCTGCGACCCGCGGGGTTGCCACCCGCTCCCTTGCCACCCCCGCCCCTGCGACCCTGCGACCCTGCCCGAGCCCAGCCTAGCGCAGCCCGGCCAGGCCCGGCCGCAGGGGGCGCCGTCCCGCCCGCCTGAGCCTGTACCCGCCGCGGCGCCGGCGCGTCACGCTGCGTCAGGGCCGCGCCCCGCGCGACGACGCTGCTGCGCGGCCCCGCCCCCAGGCCCGACAGCCTGGGAGCTGCTGGAGTTTCCGTGCCCTGCAACCGGCGGGAGACGCGCACTGTGCAGAGGTCACCGTGGAAGGCGGCTCCCGGCTCTGGCAGGCGGCTGCCCCCAGACCCGCAGTGCTATGCGCAGGTGCTTGCGCCCGTTCTTTAGTTAGTGATCTTTTGGTTAGGAACGCAGGTGGACCTGCTTGTTGGCCGTTTGCATTCCGGAGTCTGTGCCTCTGGCCGAGGCTTGTCGGATGGTCGTAGGGCTTCCTCGTTGGTTCGGATGCCTAGTGATTTAGCTTACTGCAGACGCCAGCAGCAAACGCTCGCGGAGAGCGCGGTCCACTCTGCTCTGAGGGCTTTCACGGGCAGGAGCTGCTATTTCCTCGCATTTTCCTCGAGGAAATGGGCACAGAGAGGTTAGTCGCGTGCTGAAGGTCACACAGCGGGCAGGTGGGCAAGTCAGGATCTGGCTCCAGGCCTGCAGCCTTGGAGCTTGGGCCCCAGGGCGCGCCCTGCCTCTGTGGCTCTGCCTGTGGATCGCAGTCGCAGGCTCGTTCCCTATGGGGCCTCTAGCCTCCCAGCCTGGAGCTAATCTTGGGAGGTGCGTGACAGTGGGCACTGGCTTTGCCGATGTGGAGACCAGACTCCAGAGACTGTGTCACCTGGCTTGGTCTGCGCAGCCGGTGCACGCCAAGCTCGCGTGCAGACGAAGCTCCAGAGTCCTGGCTGTCAGGAGAGTTCCTCCCCGAGGACACACATGCAACCTTCTGGACCTCCAGGCTTCAGACTTTCAAAACTCCCATATATAGGAAAGCCCCCAGGACGCAGCCAGCAGCTTGGGTCATGGGTGCACCCATCACAGCAGTCCTGGGCGAAACAGTGAATAGGAGCTCTGTGTCTCTGGTCGTTACAGTTGTAGTAAATGTTCCCTGTAGTAAGAGTCCCCTTCGGAAGATATTTGCCGTATTTTCAACAAAAGACTCTCCAGGATTAATGAGCGACTACAAGTCAGGAAGGAAAAGGCTGACAATCCAGGTTTTTTAAAAAACGGGCAAAGGACGTGAACAGACACTATGCAATGACCCAGAGTGCACACATCATCATTTCGCCTGGGAATGGGGCTCCCGAGCCCCCAGGCGGCTGAACTTGAGACTTGTCACGCCAGTGTTGGTGGAACACGGAGCAGCTAGAGGTCACCTGCTGCAGGTGGGCGTGTAACTCCACAGGGCCAAGTAGGGCCAAGCCCTTTGGAAAGCCGTAGCACATGCATGAGGGTCCAGAAAGTCCCAAGAGAAAGTGTGTGGATGCACCTACCAAGGACACACCCAGAGAGGCCACAGCTGCGATTTCATAGTGTGGGACCACACTGGCAAAGACACACTGGCTGCTGTGGCCATGGTTTCTGTCCCAGCCATCTATTTCCATAGGAAAAGGTAACAGGCATAAGCAGTTTCCAGGAGAAATACAAATGGCCAGAGTGGAGACAGCCTACATGTCCATCAGCAACAGAAAGGATCAACACGTTGTGGTGGGTCCATTTGGGGAATGCAGTGAGAGGGAATAACTTACAGCAACACACAAAACCTGGGCGACAGCTGCCTCGGGGCTGGGGGGTGCCAGGATAGAACTGCTAGCCGCCAGAGGTAGTCAGCGTCTTGATCTGCATGGTGGTGTTGAGTGTGTGAATAATAATTCTCATCCTTAGAAGCCACCCTTTGCACTCTGATTTTTAAATATGTTACAGTGTAGGCCAGGCACGGTGGCTCACGCCTGTAATCCCAGCACTCTGGGAGGCCAAGGTGGGCGGATCACCTGAGGCCAGGAGACCAGCCTGGCCAACATGGTGAAACCCCATCTCTACTAAAAATACAAAAATTAACTGGGTGTGGTGGGCGTCTGTAATCCCAGCTACTTGGGAGGCCAAGGCAGGAGAATGGTTTGAACCAGGGAGTCGGAGGTCGCAGTGAACTGAGATCACACCACCGCACTCCAGCCTGGGTGACAGAGCCAGACTCTGTCGACCAGGCTGGTCTTAAACTCCTGGCCTCAAGTGATCCAACCGCCTAGGCCTCCCAAAGTGCTGGGATTACAGGTGTGAGCCACCACGCCCAGCCATCATTTTCTTTTTTGTTTCTGATAGTGGTCATCCTAATGGATATGAGGTAGTGTCGTGTGGTTTTGATTTGCATGTCCCTGATAAATAATGATGTTGAGCATCTGCTCGTGCTTGTTGGCCATTTGCATGCCATGTTTGGAGAAATGTCTGTTCAAGGGCTTTGCCTTTTTTTTTTGAGACAGTCTCGCTCTGTTGCCCAGGCTGTAGTGCAGTGGTGAGGGTGCACCGCAAAGTCTGCCTTCCAGGTTCAAGCGATTCTCGTGCCTCAGCCTCCCAAAGAGCTGGGATTACGAAAGAGCAATTTGCCCATTTTTAATCAGTTTTGTTCCTGAGTTGTAGGAGTTTTTTGTATATTCAGGATGGTAACCCCTTATGAGATAGATGGTTTGCACATATTCTCTTCCCTTCCCTAGGATATCATTTCTGTTAATGGATTCCTTTGCTGGGCAGAAACTTTTTAGTTTGAGGTTACCCAATTTGTCTATTTTTACTTTTGTTGCCCTTGTTCTTGGTGTCATGTTCGAGAAATCTTTGCCAAGACCAATGTCATAAAGTCTTTGCCTGTGTTTTCTTCTACGGGTTTTATAGTTTCAAGTCTGCGTTTGGGTCTTGAATTGGTTTTGAGTTAGTTTTTGTGTATGATGTAAGGTAAGGGCCTATCTTTATTTGCAAGTGGATATCCAGTTTTCCCAGCGCTGCTTATTGAAGAGACCATCCTTTCCCCATTGTGAAAGAAGTTCTTGTCACCCTTTTTGAAAGTCACCTGCCCATCATTGTCATTTCTGACCCCGTTCTGTTCTGTCCTGTCCTGTCCTGTCCTGTCCTGTTGGTCTGTAGGTCTGTCTTCATGTCAGCACCCTACTGGCTGTTGGACTTTTTAATTCTTTTCTTGACAGTGGTAATTTATTTGCTTCTTTTTCTTTGTTAGTCCCTTTGCCTACTTTAAATAATTAATTTTGTTAATTTTAAATTTTCTGTTATTTGACTTAGTTCATTAATTTCATTGCTTCCTTTATTTATTTATTTTTGAGATGGAGTCTTGCTCTGTTGTCCAGGCTGGAGTGCAGTGGCGCCATCTCAGCTCATTGCAACCTCTGCCTCACAGGTTCAAGCGATTCTCCTGTCTCAGTCTCCGAGTAGCTGGGATTACAGGCGCATGCCACCGCGTCCAGCTAATTTTTTGTATTTTTTAGTAGAGATAGGGTTTCACTGTGTTGCCCAGGCTGGTTTCGAACTCCTGAGCTCAGGCAATCAAAGTGCTAGCCTCTTACAATCAAAGTACCTCGGCCTCCCAAAGTGCTAGGATTACAGGCATAAGCCATCACGCCTGGCCCATTGCTTTCTTAAATATACAAAGCGCTTAAGTTAATAAAGTTATCTAAAGGATTGTACTTTAATTTCTAATAGCGTTTGGAGGTGAGGGGACTACTTGTTTTTGCTCGTTTTTAGTTTTTTGGTTTTTTTTTACTTGGGATCAAGTGGCACATCCTATGTGAAATGTATTGAGAGTTTCTTTGTTCTGTAATACCTGGTCATTTTCATAACTGTCCCACAGACACTGGAAAAGCATGATGACTCCATGGGGTACAGAATTTAGAACATCCTTGTCAGATTGAGCCTATAGTGATGTGTCTTATATTGTCCCTTAGTCTTTTTTTCCTAATCAGTCTGTCAAATTTCAGAGAGCCATGTTAAAATCTCCGCTTATTGTGGTTTCGAAGGTTGTTTCATTGCTTTTCCTTCATTTAATTCTTCCTCTGTCACTGTGCACCTGCAGATTCCAGGCTGCTTCACATAGTTTCCTTTGCATTATGAAATGCTCATGCCTGTCCTGTGCCACTCTGCCACTCCACGTTTGCCCACAGTGCCGCCGCTGCCCAGCGCCTCTCCTCCACCCTAGTCACTGACGGATTTGTCTTGAAAGCACGCTTTTTGCTTGTCTTTTTTGTTTTGAAACATGGTCTCAGTCACCTAGGCTAGAATGCAGTGGCACAGTCATGGCTCAATGCAGCCTCGACCTCCTGGACTCAAGCAATCCTGCCACCTCGGCCTTCCAAGTAGCTAGGAATGTAGGTATGAGCCACTCTGCCTGGCTTGTCTTGAATTTTTTTTTTTTTTTGGAGATGGAGTCTCGCTTTGTCGCCTAGGCTGGAGTACAGTGGCACAATCTTGGCTCTTTGCAACCTCCACCTCCCAGGTTCAAGCAATTCTCCTGTCTCAGCCTCCTTAGTACCTGGGATGACTGCAGGGACATACCATGCCACGCCCAGCTAATTTTTGTACTTTACTTTAGTAGAGACGGGGTTTCACTGTATTGGCCAGGCTGGTCTTGAACTCCTGACCTCAGGTAATCCACCCTCCTTGGCCTCCCGAAGGCTGGGATTACACGTGTGAGCCACCATGCCCAGCTGTCGATATATTTTCCAGTGTCTTTGAACTGAGTTTTCTATTTCAAGAATTAATGAGTGTCAAAGTGCCACCCCCATCAGTACATCTTTTTCTTTTTTTTTTTTTTTCTGTCACCGAGGCCTGAGTACAGTGGTACAATCACAGCTCACTACAGCCTCGACTTCCCGGGTTCGAGCGATCCCCTTGCTTCAGCCTCCTCAGTAGCTGGGACTAGACCACACCCACTAATTTTTTTTTTTTTTTTGGAGGCAGAGTCTTGCTCTGTCGCCCAGACTGGAGTGCAGTGGCATGATCTTGGCTCACTGTAACCTCCACCTCCCAGGTTCAAGCAATTCTGGAGTCTCAGCCTTTCAAGTATCTGGGACTATAGGTGCCCGCCACCACACCTGGCTAATTTGTGTGTGTGTGTGTGTTGTATTTTAGTAGAGACAGGGTTTCACCATGTTGCCTAGGGTGGTCTGGAACTCCTAAGCTCAGGCAGTCCACCTGCCTTGGCCTCCCAAAATTCTGGGATTACAGGTGTGAGCCATCACACCCGGCCTCACACCCACTAATTTTTTGTTTGTTTGTTTCTTTGTTTTTTGAGACGGAGTCTCACTCTGTCATCCAGGCTGGAGTACAATGGTGTGATCTTGGCTCACTGCAATCTCCGCCTCCTGGGTTCAAGCGATTCTCCTGCCTCATCCTCCCAAGTAGGTGGGCCCAGCTCATTTTTTGTATTTTAGTTGAGACAGGGTTTCACCATGTTGCCCAGGGTGGTCTTGATCTCCTGAGCTCAGGCCATCCACCTGCCTCAATCTCACAAAGTGCTGGGATCACAGGCGTGAGCCACAGCACCCAGCCCCGGCCAAATTTTTTTTTTTAAATTTTTGTATAGAGTTCGTCTCAACATTGCCCAGTCTATAAGCATATCCTTTTTTTTTTTTTTTTCTTGAGACAGAGCTTTGCTCTCATTGCCCAAGCTGGAGTGCAATGGTGCCATCTCAGCTCACTGAAACCTCCACCTCCGTGGTTCAAGCAATTCTCCTGCCTCAGCCTCCTGAGTAGCTGGGACTAGAGGCATGTACCACCATGCCCTGCAAATTTTGTATTTTTAGTAAAGACGGGGTTTCTCCATGTTGGTGAGGCCAGTCTCAAACTCCGGACCTCAGGTGATCTGCCCACCTTGGCCTCCCAAAGTGCTGGGATTATAGGCGTGAGCCACCACGCCCAGGTTATAACTGTATTTTTTATCATTCTTTTTATTTCTAGCTCCGATGATTTTATCTTATTGAAAATTATTAAAAATCTTAGCAATTATGTTATTTTAAATTATCTTGGTTTTTTTCTCTGAATAATATCTGTTTTAGCTGCCGAATCACCAAAAATCCTTTGTTTTTATCTGTAGTTGTGGGTGCGTAGTGGGTACGTATGTTTATGGGGCACATGAGGTGTTTGGATGCTGCCTGCAGTGTGTAACAATCACATCAGGGTAAATGCGGCATCTTTCACCTCAAGCATTCATCCTTCGTGTTACAGACACGCTCAGCTGGAAAGGGGGCCTGCATCATGAGTATGAAGGGATGCAAGTCATAGCCACCTGAGTCTGGTGGGACACAGCAGGGCCCTGTGGAGTCACATCACAGCCTCGTGCTCGGCATAGGGGAGCGCTGCTTGGGTCCATGCAGTCGATCAGGGCCCGGGCTGTGCAGCACCCGGCCTGTCCTGCTCTAGGCACATCCCCTGCAGCACTGTGCCGTGCTGGCAGAGGTGCACAGCACCAGACCTCAGTGTGCACACACAGCCCCAGTGGCACTGCCATGCTGGTAGGGATGCCAGAAGTGGGTCCTCCTCTCACCCATGAGTGTCAGCTGATGCCGGCTGGCTGGTGACTTGTGTGCCCAACCCACGCCTGTCTTGCTCTAAGGGTCCCGGGACCGTTGTTGGGGGTGGTGCTGTTAGCATGGTCTGGAGGGAAGGCTGCTGGGTGTGAGCCCCTCTGTGCCCTGAGCAGGGCAGCCATGCAGTAGGGGCACGCTGCCTGGCCCCAGCGTGTCTGCAGCAGGCTGGTTGGCAGCAGGTGGCCAGTGGCTCTCCTGGGTTTAGTGCCATGACTGCTCCAGCTGAGGATCAGAGAGGCTTTGTCCAGGGGAGGGGGACTGGTGGGGGGCCTGGGTTCCTGGAAAGACAAGTGCAGGTCACCCCACCCCTGGGCTGTCTGGGCCACCTGTGCACATGCTATGGCACATTGAGGCGGGCACTGAGACGCCGTGTCTGCTACAGACCCGTGCCTGTATATTCCGCGCTTTGCGCACCTACTGGAATTCGGAGAGAAGAACCACGAGGTGTCCATGACTGCCCTGAGGCTCCTACAGAGGATGAAGCGGGACTGGATGCACACAGGCCGGCGCCCCTCGGGCCTCTGCGGAGCAGGTACAGCGGGCCTTGCCCGTCTGGGGGATGCTGGCCTGGGTCCTGGCGTCACACTTTCCTGACGCCTGAGTGCTGGTGGGCTGTGCCAAATGTTTGCAGAGCACTGAGAGCTGCCTCCAGCCTTCCGTGGCTGACACTGGACTGGCCCACCAGGGTCCTCAGCCCTCCAGGACCTCCTGGCTGCCCCGTTGGCCTCTGTGTGTCCTGGCATAAGGGGCAGAACCCTCAGGGCAGAGTGGCCCTGACCCCAGGTTGCCTACATCTGGGTTGCGGCTGCACGGCCATCCCTGTCCGTGGGCTTGTGGGGCCCGGCTCCTGACGCGGATAGTGGTGTGGCCTCTCTGAGATGCTAGATTGTTGCTTATGAGGATGCCACGGGGCTGTCAGACTATCCCCCACCCCTAGCTGGGCGGTTGTTCTAGTTGGACCTCTGTGGCCCCCCAGGTTCCAGCTGTCACTCAAACTCTCACTTTGCCTTTGGTGCTGGTGGGTGGATGTGGCTGTGGCCTGGTCAACTACCCCAACCCTGGAATTGGAGCCCCAGGTCGGCAGGGCCCTTGCTCCTCACCAGGGCCCTCACCCTCATGCCCACAGAGTCCACTCTTCCCAGCAGGCTAGGTGCCAGCGTCCCTGCACTCTGCTGACAGCAGAATTCAGTCCACCTGAGAAGCCGTTCCATCTGCACACATGAAATTCAGTGCGCCTGAGAGGCCGTTCCATCTGCACACATGATCTCCATGTTTGCTCTGGAGGTTCTGGGCCCACTGCAGCCTTGGTGAACCTGTGTCAGCTGCCAGCTGTGGCCTCGCCCCTTTCCCGCCTGGCCTGGCTCCGCATCCTCAGAATCCCCAGCTCCCATCACAACCTGTGTTTCCCGCACAGTCATCTTAAAGTTATTTTGTTTGCTTTGAGGGATTACGTGAAGCTCTCGGAAACCTTCATTTTAATTGTTCTTGTATTTGAAAATGGAATGGGATGCAGCCACCACCCACCATAAGATAGAGAGGGTCTTGTTCAGGATGAGCCACACTAAGTGAGGATCTCACTGCCCTGGCACGGACACATCTTCCCAGGTCATCATCTCCCCGGCCGGGATCCGCAGTGTTTTCCTGGGCCACAGATACACTGTTGCCCTGGTTCCCAGCTGTGGTTGACGAGGCCCGTCTCGTTGCTTTCTAGCACTCCTAGTTGCAGCCAGAATGCATGACTTCAGGAGGACTGTGAAGGAGGTCATCAGTGTGGTCAAAGTGTGTGAGTCCACGCTGCGAAAGAGGTAGGGGGCTCTCATTCATGGCATGGGCACCACGCAGACGCTTCGTCAGTCCAGCTCAGGCCTGCTTGCTGGAGCAGGTGCCACTTCCCAGGACCCTGCTATACCCCACCTGGCTGTTGGCCAGGACCTAGCCCAGCCCCCGTCGCACCATGGCTTGGACATGCTGGCAGGATGCCTTGCCTCCCTCCGGAGAGTTCCCTGCTAGTCCTTCTGAGGCCGGCTCTGTCCTGCGGAGGCGTCCTCCTCCTCCGATCCCTGTATTATTATTATTATTATTTTTTTTTTTTGAGACGGAGTCTCGCTCTGTCGCCCCGGCTGGAGTGCAGTGGCTGGATCTCAGCTCACTGCAAGCTCTGCCTCCCGGGTTTGCGCCATTCTCCTGCCTCAGCCTCCCGAGTAGCTGGGACTACAGGCGCCCGCCACCCCGCCCGGCTATTTTTTTTTGTATTTTTTAGTAGAGATGGAGTTTCACTGTGTTAGCCAAGATGGTCTCGATCTCCTGACCTTGTGATCCGCCCATCTCGGCCTCCCAAAGTGCTGGGATTACAGGCTTGAGCCACCGCGCCCGGCCTTTTTTTTTTTTTTTTTTTTTTTTTGAGAGACAGCCTCGCTCTGTCGCCCAGGCTGGAGTGCAGTGGTGCGATCTCGGCTCACTGCAACCTCCGCCTCCCGGATACAAGAGATTCTCCCGCCTCAGCCTCCTGAGTAGCTGGGATTACAGGCGTGCGCCACCACGCCCGGCTAGTTTTTTGTATTTTTAGTAGAGACGGGGTTTCACCATGTTAGCCAGGATGGTCTTGATCTCCTGACCTCGTGATCCACCCGCCTCGGTCTCCCGAAGTGCTGGGATTACAGGCTTGAGCCACCGCGCCCGGCCTGTATTTTTTAGTAGAGATGGTTTCACCATGTTGGTCATGCTGGTCTTGAACTCGTGACCTCGTGATCCACCTGCCTCGGCCTCCCAAAGTGCTGGGATTACCGGCGTGAGCCACCGTGCCCAGCCTGATCCCTGTGTTTCTAAGTTGAGGCGGAGGGTGATGTGTAAAGTTGCCCTAAGTCACAAACAGGCAGGAGGCTGTCTTTGATGTCAGAAGCCTGGTCCATCTCCTTTTTGGTGTGGTCCGTCCTGGACTTTGAAAGCCCAGGTGACCCCTGTCCCAGTGAGAAGCCGGAGTTCCGTCAGAGGTCCCCGCATCAGTTGAAATGAGTGGCACAGCAAGCCAGGCAGGCAGGGCGGGGCTTTGCACCCCACTTTGCTGGGTGGTATTTGTTGGGGTTCCTCACAGCTCACCTGCACTGGCAGCCCTGTTTCATAGACTTCGGCAAGGTAAATGTGACAGTGGGGTTGCTGCAACCTGTAACTGCTGTGACATTTATCACAAATCTTAAACACACGGCTGCTGTTTTTCAGCTGAGATCGTGTCCTGTGGCAGTTTCCAAAAGCAGCTGGAAAGTATTTAACCTTAAACATCTGACTGTTGATTCTGTAAAAAGCCTTTGATTAAGCATGTTGGAGGTTGTGTAGCGTGTAGAGGCGTTCGTAAGAACTGAGCCCCATGGCTCACAGGCCTGCAGGCCCCTTCCTGCCCGACTGCCAGGTGCTGAGGTTCTAGCCCAGCCTCCTCTCTTCAGGCCTTCTGAGTCTTCCGCCTAGGATTGGGGTCCTCTGTGAGTGATTAAGGGTGCCTGTGGGCCTTTCTCCCAGTGAACAGAGGTCCGGGCAGGATCAGGTGGGGGTAGAGAAGCCGCCAGAAGGGACCTGGGTGCCGAGGAGCAAGGCCTGACTGCCAGGCCCCATGGAGGAACGCCTGGCAAGCACAGTTCATTCATTTGTTTTTATTTTTTATGTTTTTGACACAGAGTTTTGCTCTTGCCGCCCAGGCTGGAGTACAGTGGCACGATCTCAGCTCACTGCAACCTCCGCCTCCTGGATTCAAGCGATTCTGCAGCCTCAGCCTCTCAAGTAGCCGAGATTACAGGCTCCCACCACCACGCCCAGCTAATTTTTGCTATTTTTAATAGAGACGGGGTTTCACCATGTTGGCCTGGCTGGTCTCGAACTCCTGACCTCAGGTGATCCTACCACTTCGGCCTCCCACATGCTGGGATTACAGGCGTGAGCCACAGTGCCTGGCCTTTAATTTTATTTTTTTATATATTTTTTGAGACAGTCTCACTCTGCTGCCCAGGCCAAAGGGCAGTGACGCTATCACAGCTCATTACAGCCTCAACCTCCTGGGCTCAAGTGATTCTCCCTGACCTCAGCCTCCCAAGTAGCAGGGACTGCAGGTGTGCACCACCATACCTGGCTAACTTTTTTTTCTTTTTGGGTAGAGACAGAGTCTCACTATGTTGCCTAGGCTGATCTCAAAGTCCTGGACTCAAACAGTCCACCCACCTTGGGCTCCCAAGTGCTGGGATCACAGGTGTGAGCCACGCCAAGCCAGCAGCTCAGTTTTAAACGGCGTTTTCAGAGCTGCCAGCTCCATTTCCCATGTCCGGCTCCATTTTAGGCTCACGGAATTTGAAGACACCCCCACCAGTCAGCTGACCATAGATGAGTTCATGAAGATCGACCTGGAGGAGGAGTGCGACCCCCCCTCATACACGGCTGGGCAGAGGAAGCTGCGGATGAAGCAGGTAGTGCCAGCCTTGGCGTCCGTCTGTGCTGGGCTTGTCAGCCTTGCAGGGAAGCTGCACACCCATAGCCTCATAGCCGCTCTTCAGTGCTGTAACCAGCCAGAGCCCGAGGCTCCAGGACACACCTTGCACAGACTCTGGGAAGTGCCACATTTTCCTGTAGGGGACACAGACCCATAGCTCCACCTCCACCGCTGCGTACCCCTAAGTTCCAGTGGCCTGTGGTCCCTGGGGCCCACAGGGCACCCCGGAGGCCGCACTGTGTGCCCGGGCCTCCCTTCACGAAGCCTCTCGCCCTGTTCCGTTTCAGCTTGAACAAGTTCTGTCAAAAAAACTGGAGGAGGTTGAAGGTAACCAACTGATCTTCCCATACAATGCTTCTGCTTTGTTGGGAAAATTGATTTTGTGCTGACTTTTTGCTTTTAACTTACGACTTCAGGTGAAATATCCAGTTACCAGGATGCAATTGAGATTGAACTAGAAAACAGCCGGCCAAAGGCCAAGGGGGGCCTGGCCAGCCTGGCGAAAGATGGTGAGTCCAGCCCTGGCCTCAGAACTCGAGACCTGTCTGTGTGCCCCTTGCCGGCACCTTTCCCACCAGCTGACCTTTGACCTTGTCCTTCCTGTCACTCTTCCTGGGCCCTCTGGTCTATGTGCACAGCCCTGGGGTTGAGGCTGCCTCCCCCCATGACCTTCCTTCCTCCTCAGACACTCAGGCTGCACGCTGGGCTGTGGCACTCCAGCTGTTGGTACGGGTTGCCCCCACCTCATCCCCTCCCTGCAGAGGCTCCTGTGAGGTGTGCATTGGTTTGATCCAGAAAGGTGGGACAACTCAAAGCAGTGGGCGGGGCTTATAGGTCACAGGTGGAGTCAAAGGTTTTGTGATTGGCAATTGGTTGAAAGAGTTAAGTTATTGTCTAAAGACCCGGAATCAACAGAAAGAAGTGTCTAGATTAAGGTAAGAGAGTTGTGGAGACCAAGGTGCTTGTTACATAGATGAAGTCTTTAGGTGGCCACCCTTAGAGGCAGTAAATGGAAAGGTTTCCTTTTTTTTTTCTGGAGTCAGAGTCTCCCTCTTTGACCCAGACTGGAGTGTAATGGTGCGATCTTGGCTCACTGCAACTGCCATCTCCCAGGTTCAAGTGACTCGAGCCTCAGCCTCCCAAGTAGCTGGGACTACAGGCACCCGCCACCACGCCCTGGTAATTTTTGTATTTTTATTAGAGACAGAGTTCTACCATGATGGCCAGGCTGGCCTTGAACTCCTGGCCTCAGGTGATCTGCCTGCCTCGGCCTCCCAAAGTGTTGGGATTATAGGAATGAGCCACCGTCCCTGGACAAATGTTTCCTATTCAGACCTTTTTGTTTGTTTTTGAGACAGAGTCTCTCCCTGTCGCCTGGGCTGGAGTGCAATGGCACAATCTCAGCTCACTGCAACCTCCACCTGCTGGGTTCACGCGATTATCCTGCCTCAGCCTCCCAAGTAGCTGGGAGTACAGGCACACACCACCACACCTGGCTAATTTTTTGTATTTTTAGTAGAGATGGGTTTCACTGTGTTGGCCAGGCTGGTCTCGGAACTCCTGACCTCGTGATTTGCCCACTTCGGCCTCCCAAAATGCTAGGATTACAGGCGTGAGCCACTGCTCCTGGCTTCTATTCAGATCTTTAAAATATGCTAGTCTCAGCAAATCTCTTCAGGATCAGAAAAAGACCTGGAAAGGGAAGGGGATTCTCTACAGAATGTAAGTTTCCTGCCAGGTGCGGTGGCTCACGCCTGTAATCCCAGCACTTTGGGAGGCTAAGGCGGGCGGATCACAAGGTCAAGAGATTGAGACCATCTTAGCCAACATAGTGAAACCCCGTCTCTACTAAAAATACAAAAATTAGCCGGGCGTGGTGGCGCGTGCCTGTAGTCCCAGCTACTTGGGAGGCTGAGGCAGGAGAATCGCTTGAACCCAGGAGGCCGAGATTGCACCACTGTACTCCAGCCTGGGAGACAGAGTGAGACTCCGTCTCAAAAAAAAAAAAAGAAAAAAAAAGAATGTGAGTTTCCACTGCAAAAGACAGCTTTGCAGAGCCATTTCAAAATATGTCAAAGATATTTTGGGGTAAAGTATTTTGATTTCTTTCAGGGCCTGCTACCTGTCATTGATGCTATACTAGAGTCAGGTTGGAATTTGGTATCTGTTGCTACAAGGTCTGTTTGGTCAATCATCAGATCTCTCTCATCGGATGTTAATGCTGATGAGCTGCTCCTGAACTCCAAAGGGAGGGGGTGTAAGAGGGTATAATGAGGCATGTCTGACCCCGCCCCCGCTTCCCATCGTGGTCTGAACTAGTTTTTCGGGTTTCTTTGAAATCTCTTTGGTCAAGAGAAGGGATCCATTTGGTTGGTGTGGGGCTTCGAATTTTATTTTTGATTAGTATTCTGTACTGTGTTTTTTCACTTGGGGGTAGTAGGAGCCATGAGAGGGCCTGAGGGCAGAGGCAGGTGGTGGGGAGGCTGTTGCAGGAACCCAGGGTGAGAGACCTGGCCCAGCCTGGTCAAACTCTGGAGGTACTTTTGGGGCAGAGCCAACAGTCTGGGGAATGTGCACGTCCAGGGAATGTGGCAGCTGGAGCCCCCAAGGCTCCTGGCACCTGCGGCCTGGGCCCACTTGCCCGGGGAGGGGTTTCTAAGAGGCTGCACTGTCCAGAGGTCATTACTCACTGACGTCTGCTCTCTGGGGATCAGGTGCTTTCCCCCAAGGAGCCATTCCTCACCATGGGGACCCCTCCAGGACTCAGTGCTAGCCAGGAATTTTATATTGGAACACATTGAGACGAAAGTAATCTAAGACTTAGAGTGGGTCAAGCATAGTGGTCCATGCCTGTAATCGTAGCACTTTGGGAGGTGAATACAGGAGGATTGCTTGAGCGGAGTTCAAGACCAGCCTGGTCAGCATAGTAAGATCCCATCTCTACAAAAAATTAAAAACTTAGCTGGGTGTGGGAGTGCGCGCCTGTAGTCCCAGCTGCTCGGGAGGCTGAGGCCGGAGGATCACTTGAGCCCAGGAGTTCGATGTGCAGTGCGCTGTGATTGCACCACTGTATTCCAGCCTGGGCAGCAGAGCCAGACCCTGTCGCCAGTACACACACAACGCACAAAATCTAGAGTGGGATGTTTTAAGATGAGTTTTGCCAACCTTAAAGGAAGAAGCAGAGGAAAAATTAATCTACATAATTAATTTGGGTCAAGCTTGAGGAGTGCAGCCAGAGAGGACACATCTCATTGCCCTGAATATACACTCTGGTGAGCAGCGGTTACACGTGGACTTTTTTCTTTTTTTGGAGACGGAGGCTTACTCCGTCACCCAGGCTGGAGTACAGTTGCATAATCTCAGCTCACCGCAACCTCCACCCTCTAGTTTCAAGCAATTCTCCTGCCTTATCTCCCCGAGTAGCTGGGACTACAGGCATGCGCCACCACACCCAGCTAATTTTTGTATTTTTTGTAGAAACGGGGTTTCGCGGCCGGGCGCGGTGGCTCAAGCCTGTAATCCCAGGACTTTGGGAGGCCGAGGCGGGTGGATCACGAGGTCAGGAGATCGAGACCATCCTGGCTAACATGGCGAAACCCCGTCTCTACTAAAAATACAAAAAACTAGCCGGGCGTGGTGGCGGGCGCCTGTAGTCCCAGCTACTCGGAGGCTGAGGCAGGAGAATGGCGTGAACCTGGGAGGCGGAGCTTGCAGTGAGCCGAGATCGCGCCACTGCACTCCAGCCTGGGTGACACAGCGCGAGACTCCGTCTCAAAAAAAAAAAAAACGGGGTTTCGCCGCGTTGGCCAGGCTGGTCTTGAACTCCTGACCTCAAGTGATCTGCCCACTTTGGCCTCCCAAAGTATGGGATTACAGGAGTGAGCCATCATGCCCAGCCACAGATGGAGTTTTAAAGGCAAAAAGGGACAGTGATTGGATGGATACAAAGTTGTTTGTCAGGAATTGTCATTGGCTTACAATAATAACATTTATTCGTGATTGGCCGTACATCGTTAAGCTATTGGGTGCGGCGTTATTAGGTTAGTTTAGAGCTACTTGTGGCAACAGCAGGCAGTTTCAAGAAGTGAACACCTAGCTCAAGGGGGAGGATTCACATTCCTTCCCTGAAAGTTGTTTTCTGTCTTTTAAATTCACCATTGGGTGATTTTTAACAGCTTTATTGCGGTGTAATTGCCTTATGACAAACTGCTCATGTTTAAAATGCGCCGTTTAATTTCTGAACTTTGACGTCTGCACACACCTGTCAAGCCATAGTGACAACCAGGAAAACCCACAGATTTGTGGCTCCTGCGGGGTCCACAGGCCCTTAGTCAGCGCCCCCCCTCCTGCCCCAGGCCCCCAGTGAGCTACTTTTTGTTATTATAAATTAGTTGTATTCTGTAGAATTCCGTACGAGTAGGATCATGTAAAATATGTTTTTCCCTTCGGCTTTTTTCACAGTGTGATTATGTTGAGTCCATCAATGGTTTGTTCTTTTCTTCTGTGGCGTGGCAGTTGGTAGTCCTTCAACACGCTGAGGTGTGTAGCCATTCATCTGTTGGAGTACATTGCACGTTCGGGGCTGTTTCAGATGCACTCCTGAACCCTGGTGTACAGGTCCTTGTGTGGACGTTGATTTCCTTTTGGGTCAGCTGCTGAGGAGTGAAATTGCTGGGTTATGTGAAAGGCAAGTGTGTCTGTCTTTTTTTGTTGTTTTTGAGACAGGGTCTTATTCTGTCACCGAGGCTGGAGTGCAGTAGTTCGATCATAGCTCACCGCAGTGTCAACCTCCTGGGCTCAAGCAACTCTCCCATATCAGCCTCCCAAGTAGCTGGGACTGCAGGCGGGCACCGCCACACCCAGCTAAGTTTTCATTTTTTCATAGAGACAGGATCTTGCTATGTTGCCCAGGCTGGTCTGGAACTCCTGGGCTCAAGTGGGCAGCCATGACCTGTCTGTCTTTAAGAAATGATCAGGTTGTCGGCTGGACGCAGTGACTCACACCTGTAATCCCAGCACTTTGGGAGGCCGAGGTGGGTGGATCACAAGGTCAGGAGATCGAGACCATCCTGGCTAACACAGTGAAACCCCGTCTCTACTAAAAATACAAAAAAAATTAGCTGGGTATGGGGGCAGATGCCTGTAGTCCCAGCTGCTCAGGAGGCTGAGGCAGGAGAATGGCGTGAGCCTGGGAGGTGGAGTTTGCAGTGTGTGGAGATTGCACCACTGCACTCCAACCTGGGCGACAGAGCGAGACTCCGTCTCAAAAAAGAAAAAAGAAATGATCAGGTTGTCTCCAAAGGGGTGTCACCGTGCGTGGAAGCTCGAGGGAGTATGTTCCTCCTGCCTGGGAGGCATGGCCCCTTTTTCTTTTCAGGGCTAGAGGTTCTGAGTTGTGAAGGAGTAGCTGGTGGTGATTTCATCTGCGTTTCCTTCAGGACTGGAGGAGGTCTTTGTATGTGTTTGTTTACCACCCATATGTCATATTTGTGGGAGCCTTTGTTCAGATCTTTTTTCTATTTTTTTAATTGGGTTGTTTTCTTGTGAAGTTTTGGGAATTCTTCATCTGTTCTAGATTTAAGTCCTTTACCAGTTGTGAGATTTGCAGATAAGCCTGTGGGCTGTCTTCATTGTCTTAATGATGTCTTTCAAAGGGCAGTTCTTAATTGTTTGGAAACCCGTTTTATCAGTGTTTTATGGATTCTGCTTTTAGAGCCGTTAGAAATATTTGCCTTATCCAAGGTCAAACTTTTTCTGTCTGAGATGTCTGTACTTTAACTCCCCCCAGGTCTGTGATCTGCTTTGAGCTAACTTCTGCGTGCAGTGTGAGGTGTGGCCTGAGGCTTGTTCTTTGGCACGTGGCCGCCAGGCACCGTGCAGCGACAGCCTTTCTCTGGGTTACCTGGCAGCTTGGTAGCATTGTTTTTTGTCACAAAAGTGGGCGCCCTGGCCCTCTGCCTGGTTAACAGGTGGTGTGTGGATTGTGTACCCCTAGGCTCCGCTGAGGACACCGCGTCCAGCTTGTGTGGTGAGGAGGACACGGAGGATGAGGAGCTGGAGGCCGCGGCCAGCCACCTGAACAAGGACTTATACCGGGAGCTCCTTGGTGGCACCCCTGGCAGCTCGGAAGCAACAGGAAACCCCGAGTGGGGCGGCAGACCTCCGGCCCTTGGGTCCCTGCTGGACCCCCTCCCCACTGCGGCCAGCCTGGGCATCTCAGATTCGATCCGCGAATGCATCTCCTCGCAGTGCAGCGACCCCAGTGAGTTCTGATGGAGCCCTGGAGGGTGGCTGAGGTCATCAGGAGAGCTTTCCGACGTGTCCCTCTCAGGGGGAGAGCTGGATGCTGCCATCCTTTGTCGGGAGGTGTGGTGTTTTCGAGCGGTGGGCTTGGGTGGGGGCACCACCAGTCCCCCCAGTGGGGCTGTGTGGGCGTCAGTGGTCCTGGTGTGAAGAGCTGGGTGTGTGCCGATGCCGGAATGCGGTGGGTCTCATCACCCTCACTGGGACCGCCTGCAGGCCACAGGGGCCGTGGAGAACAGAGCCCACAAGTTGCGTCCAGGAGTCCCACGGGGCAGCTCCACACCTCATCCACTTGTCCATCATGGTTGGGGAGCGTCATTTGCTGAGCTTGGTCATGGCAACGACGAGGCACCCCTGTCCCATAGTGCCCAGGCCAGGCCACCGTGCCCGTCATGCCCCCTCCTCCCTGCCCATTTGGCTGGGAGCTCTAGGAGAAAGATGGGTCCCATCCCCCATCCCTGCCAGGACAGGCTTCCCTGGCTGAAGGCCTGGACCTTCCTGCAGCGCTTCACCCTCAGGCCCTGCCTCCCGTCGGGCACCAGGGCCTGGCCTCTGTGTTGAGGAGCCAGGCAAATATTTATCGAGTGACCTCTGGGCCGGGGGTGGAGACAGTCCTGATGGCTGGGGCTGCTGTGTGGGTGGAACCCAGGCAGGTCACACAGAGCAACAGGCAGAGGGGACGTGCACAGGCTCCCGGGGCAGCCGGCGGCACAGTGACCCTGAGCAGAAAGGGCCATTCTGGCTGAGGAAGGGCCATGGGGGGGCCTTGAGGGCTGCCTGTTTGAGTGCTGAGAGGAGCCCTCTCAGGCCTCAGCCATGGAACAGCGTGGCAGGAGAGCACCCCAGACAGTCCAGCCCTGTGCTGGAGTTGAGTTGGCAGCATGGGGCAGGCAGCTATGGTGTGGGGCTGTGGCAAGGAGAGGCTGTCCCAATTCCAGGCTGTGCAGATGCTGCCTGGACCACGTGGGGCTGGGCAGGGGTGACAGGCAGGTTTTGGGGTGTCCTGAGCGTGATCATGGAAGGCTCCCTTGGGCCTGGACTCTGGAATTATTTCTATTCCCTCATTTCTATCCCCAGACCTATGGGCTCAGTGATAGGGAGCTGGCGCCCCCCAGCGTAGACCCCTGTCTCACCCCGTGGCCTGGCCTTTCCTTCCTGCCCAGCTTCCGTGCCCTCCCTCGGTCTTTGGGGCCAGACAGCCTCTGTCTCCCAATCTTAAAAAGTTGCTTTCTTACAAAAAGCACAGGAGTGCTGGGATTTTCCTTCGTAGCTTGAGTTTGGCGTCCTGCTGTCTTCACTTAGCATCCTTAGCTAAGCATTTAAAGAGACATGGCCATGTGGGGAAACAGGGCGTGACCCCCTGGTGCAGAGGAGGGGATGGGGTTCTAGAAGACCCTTAGCCCAGACCCAGGGTCCTGAGCCAGCCCAGGTGGTGGCCGTGCTCCCGTCATCAGAGCTGGTGCTGAGTGATGCTGATGCTGCGCTTCCCTCCAGAAGATGCTTCGGGAGACGGCGAGCTGGACCTCAGTGGCATTGACGACCTGGAGATTGACAGGGTGAGTGGCAGCACCCCTTCCCAGGAGGGGCCAGGCTTGGGAGGGCGCTGCAGCCCAAGGATCCCTGAGTGGCCAGGCAGGGTTGGCCATCTCCCCTGCCCAGTGCCCACCCCGCTGGGTGAAGTGGGCTCCTGGCCTTCTAGCCACTGTTCCCGGGACCCACCCCCAGACTCTCCTGTCCAGTGTTGGCTCCAGGGTGGCCTGTCGGGAGACCCCCAGCTTTACACCTGGCCCTTGTGGCCCTCTGGGCATGTAGCCTGTGGCAAGCACAGATCGCACAAGTGGCACCAGGGTCAACCCATCGAGGGGGTCTCCAGACACAAGAGGGTACCCACTGACTCCACATGCACTGTGTGCCCCCAAACCCCAGGGGTTCCAGCCATTGGGACCAGCTCTTTGCAGTTTATCTCAACATACTTGCCCTCTGTCAGGCAGGAAGTCTTCTTCCCTGATTTCATGGCCACGTGGTGCCTCAGACCCCTCCAGCCTGGCCCATCTGTTCCTGAGTGGGTGGCTCTCACCTTCACCTGGTCCCTTTGTGGGGACCTGTAGCCTGCCCTCTGGCTGGCCAAGGTCCTGGTGTCGGCGGGGCCTGCAAGCTGCCCTAGAGGGTCTCACAAGTGTGGCCTGCTTGGTTGGCCTTGGGACAGGCAGAGGTGCAGCAGGTCCCCAACTCACCCCGAGCGGGAAGACATCAGCCCAGGCTCCGCACTAAATAGAGGCTGGCCCTGGTTCCCCTTCCTCTCACGGAGGAAATACTTCCCGCTGGTCAGCACGACCTTAGCACTCCCTGGTGCGCGAAGGCTAAAAGCCAGCCCCACTTCCCTGTGCTCGCCCAGTACATCCTGAATGAGTCGGAAGCCCGCGTGAAGGCCGAGCTGTGGATGAGGGAGAACGCCGAGTACCTGCGGGAACAGAGGGGTAAGCGCCACCCGCCCACACTCACACGCAGGATGCGCAGCCCGCAGGCCTGGGGCGTGGACCCTCAGTGACACCGGCCCCTTTTCTGAACTTTTAGAAAAAGAAGCAAGAATAGCCAAAGAGAAGGAGCTTGGCATCTACAAGGAGCACAAGGTGGACGCCTGTAACGCCGGGCCTGGCCTTCTCGGGGGTGTCCAGGTTACGGGGGGGGCAAATATCTCTGGAATGTCCCTTCCCCGTGTGACCCAGGGTAGGCAGCTGGAGGCCATGTGCTCTGGACCCCAGACCCATGTCCCTAACCCCCAGGTCCTGCCCCGTGCTGGCCACAGGCGCCCAGCCGTCAGCTTCACCTTGGAGGGCGTGTGCTCAGCCTTGGAGTGACCCTCTGGACACGGCACCAGGGCAGACTGTGTTGGGCCTCGGGGCTGGATGCTGGGGTTCCTGCCTGTGTAACCGGCGTTTGCTCTTCTAATGACCTGGGAGGTCCGACTCTAATGCCTCCCTGCCTTGTGGTCGTCGTGGTGACCTGGCTCAGCTGGCTCACTCCAGGGGGGACCGTGCCTTCAGTCTCATGGTGCAGTCAGCAGTGCTTGAGCCTCTGAGTGACTGAGCAGGAGAAAACACAGGAAGCCGGTTCCTTGCCGGCGAGACTGGGGTCCCTTGGACCAAGCTGTAGGTGTCTGGGAGGGTGGATGTGGGGCCTACCCACTCAGGAGGACCCGGGAAGCGTGTGGTCAGGGAGTTAGGAACCTAGGCACTCCGCCCCACCCAACAGCACGTCCCAGGCCTTGCTGGGCCACATGGGAAGGTTGTCATGCAGGGAGGGCAGCAGGGGTGGTGCAGGCTGATGGCCCTGAAGTGGTCTGTGGCTCCAGCTCCTAGAATGAGATCCAGGGTCTTCGGGCAGCTGGGGCCTTTGACCTGGGCCACAGTGCTGGGATGGATTGTCTGTCTTTGGCCTGGGCCACAGTGCTGGGATGGATTGTCTGTCTTTGACTTGGGCCGCAGTGCTGGGATGGATTGTCTGTCTTTGGCCTGGGCCGCGGTGCTGGGACAGATTATCTGTCTTTTTTTTTTTTTTTTTGAGATGGAATCTTGCTCTGTCGCCCAGGCTGGAGTGCAGTGGCGCGATCTCGGCTCACTGCAAGCTCCGCCTCCCGGGTTTACGCCATTCTCCTGCCTCAGCCTCCTGAGTAGCTGGGGCTACAGGCACCTGCTACCACACCCGGCTAATTTTTTTGTATTTTTTTTTTAGTAGAGATGGGGTTTCACTGTGTTAGCCAGGATGGTCTTGATCTCCTGACCTTGTGATCCGCCCGCCTTAGCCTCCCAAAGTGCTGGGATTTCAGGCGTGAGCCACCGTGCCCGGCCATTGTCTGTCTTCGGCCTGGGCTGCGGTGCTGGGACGGATTGTCTGTCTTCACTGAGTAGCCTCTCTGCTGTGGCCCTCACAGTGCAGCAGCTCGTCACCCTGCCGTGCGCCTGTGGCCCTGCCTGTGTGAGACCCAGGGGCAGCTCGTCTCCCTGCCATGTGCATGTGGCACATTTGCTGCTGTTGCTGTCTGGAGGCCCTGCCAGCACCCATGCCAGCCCACGTGCCCCACTCACCTGGGAGGGCAGGATTTGATGTGGGCAGGCCCACAGAGCGCCAGGCTGGCCCACGTTCTGGGAGGAGGAGGCAGGAGCAGCCCTCTGAGGGCCTGCACTCCTGGCCTCACATGGAGCCCTGGTGGTCGAGTGCAGCAGGCGTGACTCACGGGAGGCATTCTTGCATGTTTCCGTCAAGCCCAAGAAGTCTTGCAAGCGACGGGAGCCAATTCAGGCCAGTACCGCCAGGGAGGCCATCGAGAAGATGCTGGAACAGAAGAAGATCTCCAGCAAGATCAACTACAGCGTGCTCCGGGGCCTCAGCAGCGCCGGCGGGGGCAGCCCGCACAGGGAGGATGCGCAGCCCGAGCATAGCACCAGTGCCAGGAAGCTGTCACGAAGGAGAACGCCGGCCAGCAGAAGTGGGGCTGACCCTGTGACCAGTGTGGGGAAAAGGTACCATCCTGTCCTGCGTGGCTGGGTTAGGGCAGGAGCCCAGGGCAGGCAGAGGCCCATGGCTTCGGGTCCTGGAGCTGCCAGGGGCCAGCCGAGGCCACAGAAGTGCCTGGAGTGGCATATGCCTTGCATGCTGGGGACCGGTGGGCCGTCTCCGGTGCATTGATGGTGTCTTGGCTCACCTTGGTCTGGCCCGCTGTGACCCGATGAGCGGTGCAGGCTGTCAGAGGGGTCCTGCAGCCTAGGCTCTGTTTTGTCCCAAGGAGGGGATGGGACACTCAGTGGGGTCGGCCCCTTCTCCAGCCTGGGTTCAGGAAGACGAGCCCCCAGCCCTGCCGCCCTGTGCCTGCTCTGCGTACCCAGGCTGCATTGCTGTCTCTGCCGAGGTGGTGGGTGAGAGCAGCGCACCGCTGGGGAAGGAGGATGTGGGTGGAGAATGTGGCTGAGGGGGCCGGGCGCAGTGGCTCAAGCCTGTAATCCCAGCACTTTGGGAGGCCGAGACGGGCGGATCACGAGGTCAGGAGATCGAGACCATCCTGGTTAACCCGGTGAAACCCCGTCTCTACTAAAAAATACAAAAAAAAAAAACTAGCCGGGCAAGGTGGTGGGCGCCTGTAGTCCCAGCTACTCGGGAGGCTGAGGCAGGAGAATGGCGTAAACCCCGGAGGCGGAGCTTGCAGTGAGCTGAGATCCGGCCACTGTACTCCAGCCTGGGCGACAGAGCGAGACTCCATCTCAAAAAAAAAAAAAAAAAAAAAGAATGTGGCTGAGGGACTGTCAAAGGCGGGATGTGCTGGCTTCAGCGCACAGGGTCACGAGGCTCTGCCGCTCCATGCAGGGCCTCCTTGGAGTGGCTCAGCCTCCGTGCACGGCTTGCCTCTGGGTGGCGGCTGCAGGGTCTCCTGACGAGGCCACAAGCAGCTGGGCTTACCTACTGCGTCTTTGGGGCCCGCGGCTAGTCCATGTGACCTCCTGGTAGTGGAGATGGGATCGGCGGCTTAGCTTCTGGGTCCATCCTATAGTGGTTCCGACCTTCACTCCACCCCACCGAGTCTCTGGGCTGGGAGCGTCTGCTGGTCCTACTGCTCCTTGGGATCTCTTGCGCTGTCTCCAGCTGCTTCCCCTGTGGGGCAGTGCTGACCCTCGGCAGCCCCGTCAGGGCCTCCTCTTGTTTGCTGTGGTTTCTCCTTGGCCTTTTGAGCTGCTTGGCCGGCCACTCCACCCTGTGAGAGTTGGCTGTGCTATGGGCCTGCCCCGCAGTGCCCAGGTGCTGCTCTGTGAGGGAGCCTGACCTCCTTGCAGGCTGGTGCTTCTCAGCCGGCATCTCAGCCCCTCAGGAGGGCCGCATGAGCTGTCTCCTCCACATCAGCCATGCAGTGGCTCTCCTAGCATTCCTAGCACAGCTCCTGGCATGCGTAGGAGGTCAGTGGGGCAGAGGTGAAGTCAGGGCAGGTCCATGGCTTGGTTCCCCTGTGCCCAAGCACTCTCAGGTCGGATCTGAGGCCTGAGTCTCAGTGTCTGCTGCCTGCCCAGCCAGTCTCTGTCAGCACTAGCGGGGATGGGGGTCCTGTCCCAGTTGGGTGATTCTGGTGCCTGGTTAGAGTTCACAGCCCCCTCTGTCACATCTGACCAGCTGGCCCAGACAAGGCCTCGGTGTGCATGTGTGTCTCTGTGTGTGTGTATGTGTGTCTGTGTCTGTATACACATAGTACATGCAGTACGTGTATGCCTGTGTCTGTGTGCATGCGGTGTGTGTGTGCATGCAGCTTGTGCCTGTGTGTGTAGTGTGTGCGTGTGTGTGCCTGTGCGGTGTATGTGTGCATGTGCGTGTATGTCTGTGCATGCAGTGTGTGCATGTGTGCCTGTGTCTGTGTATGCAGTGTGTGTGTGTGCATATGTGCTTGTGTATGAAGTGTGTGTGCACCTGTGCCTGTGTCTGCAGTGTGTGTGCGCATGTGTGCCTGTGTGTATGCAGTGTGTGTGCAGTGTGTGTGCCTGTGCCTGTGTATGCAGTGTGTGTGCATGTGCATGTGTGCCTGTGTCTGTATGCATGCAGTGTGTGTGTGCCTGTGTCTGTGTGCATGCAGTGTGTGTGTGCGTGTGTGTGCCTTTGCATGCATGCAGTGCGTGTGTGCCTGTGTCTGTGCATGCAGTGTGTGTGCATGTGTATGCTTATGTCTGTGCATGCAGTGTGTGTGTGGCTGTGTGCATGCAATGTGTGCATGTGCCTGTGTGCCTGTGTGCATGCAGTGTGTGCGTGTGTGTGCGCCTGCAGTGTGTGTGTGCATGTGCTTGTGTGCATGCAGTGTGTGCGCGTGTATGCCTGTGTCTGTGTGCCTGCAGTGCAGTGTGTGTGTGCATGTGTCTGTGTGCCTGTGTCTGTATGCCTGCAGTGTGTTTGTGCGTGTGTGCATGCAGTGTGTGGGTGCTTGTGTCTGTGTGCATGCAGTGTGTGCATGTGCATGTGTGCCTGTGTCTGTATGCATGCAGTGCGTGTGTGCCTGTGTCTGTGTGCATGCAGTGTGTGCGCATGTGCATGTGTGTCTGTGTCTGCATGCAGTGTGTGTGCGCCTGTGTGCATGCAGTGTGTGCATGTGCGTGTGTGCCTGTGTCTATGCATGCTGTGTGTGCGCATGTCCGTGCATGCAGTGCATATGCACACAGTACGTGTGTGTTGGTGCACTCAGTACGTGTGTGTGTGCATGTGTACTTGTGTCTGCACACAGTGCATCTGCATGCCCGTGTGTGTGCACAGTGTGTGCCTGTATCTGTGACTGCACACAGTATGTGGGCATGTATGTCTGTGTAAGTTTTTGTGTGCAAGTGCAGATGTGCATGCCTATGTGTCTCTGTGCATGCAGTGTGTGTGCATGCAACACGTGTACCTGTATGTCTACACAGTGTGTGTGCATGTCTGTTTCTGTGTACACATGTGCACGCATGTGTATACACAGTGCGTGTGTCTCTCTGTGTGCATGGGGCGTGTGTGTGTCTTAAATCTCTCGAGTGTGTGCAGTGTGTGCGCGTGAGTCTGTGTGTACACAGTGTATGTGCACATAAATCTGCGTGTTCATGCACTGCTTTCTGCATTCAAAACCCATCAACCTTCCCCCGCAAATGGCCATGATCCGATTCGTTAATATTTAGTGTTCTAAGACGGAAGCATGAAGACCTCAGGGCTTGGGATACCTCGGCCCTCCGCACCCCCACCCCCACTCAGGCCTGGGCAGCTCAGGCAGTTCCAGCAGGGCAGGGGAGAGGGGGGTCTACCTGGGGACAGAAGGGCACGTCCCGGTTGCCCTTGCAGCCCATGGGGGCAGGTTTTCACCCACGCTCGGGTGAGGAAAAAGGGACTTGGACTGCTTGGAAAGAGGCTGAGGCCCCAACCTGAGGAAGGGAGGTGGGGACAGACCACCAAGGAGGGGCTCAGCTGAGGAGGCACTGCCTCAGCCCAGCGACCACAGCGTCCCTCAGCAGCAGCCGTGCTGCCTTGGGTGGCCCAGGCATGACAGCCCCTCCTTGGTGTGGGGGAACCAGCCTGAGCTGCACCCCCATTCTCTTAGGCTGCTGGTGGCTGCCCAGCCCGTCTCCCTCTGGCCACCTGCCCCTAGTCCCGTGTCGTGACGCGTGCTTCCCCTGATGACAGACACCTGCAGAACCCAAGCTGGGCCATGCAGGGGTGTGGGCAGCTGAGCCACGTGGGGGTGTGGGCAGCCGCTCCCTCCAAGCTTGTGTCCTCCTCGCTCTGCGGTCACTCAGGCTCGTGTGACCCTCGGGGTCTTCCTCTAGCCCAGGCAGATCAGTCTGCCATCATGCCTGAACATCCCCCTCTGGGGACAGGCAGAGGGGCCAACGTGGACCGTGGGCCCCAGCCCCCATATCTAGAAGGGGGGAAAAGGTGGGGCCCACCAGATGAGCTCCCCTCCTGTCTGCTTACAGGCCCTAGGGTCCCCCAAGCTGGGCTGGGACCGGGCTTCAGCCAGTGGGGTCAACACGTGCTGGCGTGGCTGTGAGAGGGAGCAGCCTGAGCCCAGCAGTGGGTTTGTGTGATCGATGGGTACAGAGCCTCCACATCCTCAGGCCCCTGGCTGGGGACCCCCTTACAGGCCAAGGCCGTGGCCGAGGTGATGGCAGGTGGGAGCTTGTTCTCCAGGTGCTCTCAGACCCTCCCATGTGGACTGGCTGCCTCAGATTCACACAGGATACTGCAAGGAAGGGGAAGCCCCTGAGGCAGGCCCCCAGCTAGCCCGCAGACCCCGGGAGCGCTTACGGTTCTGCACCCTTGAACACCACGCACCCTCTCTCCAGCCGGGCTCTGCAGGAGTAGGGAGCTTTTTGGCCCCCTAGGGTGAGGCCTGGCACAGCTGCTTCCTGGTTCTGGAAAAGCTGGATTTGTCTGTCAGAACCTTGGGTCAGTGCAGCAGGACCTTGTGACTTGAATCTCAGCATGTCCTCAGTGCCAGGTGGGGGAGGAAGGGCATGTCCCTGCAGGAAGTTCACCCTCGTAACAGCGCCATTCTCCCTGTGGCCCCATAGTCCTGCCCACCAGCATTTGCTCCCCTCTGGCTAAGGCACAGTCTGCTGAAGTCGAAGAAACTACCTCTTCCAGAGGTTGCAGCGGGCCGAGATCACGCTGCTGCACTCTAACCTGGTCACAGAGCAAGATTCCGTCTCAGGAAAAAAAGAAAAAAAGAAACTGCCTCTCCTTGAGCTGGGGGAGGCTCAGGGCCCTCCTCGATGGGGGCCTGGTGGCCTGACTTTCCGGAGCATGAATCTCCTGGGGCCTTAGTCCCACCCGCCAAGATCAGGCCTCTGACCCAGCCGCCGGGCCTGCCTGCTGGAGTGCCAGCCACTTTTGGAGAGACCACAGTGGGGTGTCTCATCGCAGTCAGCCTGCTGGGAAGCTCCGCCGCAGGGCCAGCCGCCATCCCCAGAGGCCCCCGCTCCACTGCACAGTGGGCCTAGGGATGGGGGTGGGGACGGCGAAGCAGCGCCTGCCAGGCTCCAGGAACCAGGCTGGAGGCCTGGCCTGAGGATACAGCCCCACCAGGAGCTCTGGGAGCTCAGGGTCCCACTTCCTCCAGACTACGGAGAGGGCCGCATGGGGAGCCTGGGGCCTCAGCCTGGCTCACACCTGCTGTCAGCTTCACCCCGAGCGGAGCTCCATGTCTGGGTGTTCTGCTAATGTCCACCTGTCGTGGGGTTCCTTCCCAGTGTCCCGAGAGTTCATCTGACACGTCACAGGCAGGGCCCTGCCTCAGGCCCCCTACCGCTCCCCACACAGCTGTGCCCTGGAGGGAAGGGCTCTGCCCCTGCTGCGTCCTTCCCCACAGGCCCTGAGCCCTCTCATTGCCCGCCTGACAGCCCTGTGTGTCTATGCTGGGGCTTGCGGGGAATGCCTGCGTCTTCTCTTGTGGGGTCCCCTGTCTCCCTGGGGGGACCAGCAGTCTCCAAGAAGACTTGGCATGTGGAAGGCACCTTTGGCCTTTGTGTGTGGCGGGCCAGCGAGCAGGCCCTGTGCAGGGTGTTGTCAGGTGAAGCAGGGATTGCCCTGGGCCTGACGGGGATTGGGGAAGCAGTCTGGGGTCTTCGGGTCTAACAGTGTCCCTTCCCCTCCCTCCCCTCCGCCCTGAGTGAAGTAGGGCAGCAGGCAGCTGCTTGAGGGCTCAGGCGCTGTTGGAAGAGGAGTGGGCCGGGGAGCGGGGCATCTGCCGCTTCTGTGTTTCTGCGTCAAGTGGTGCACCCTGTTGAGAATGTGAACGGGTAAGAGCTCTGTGTTGAGGTGAGGTGAGCACTGATGGAGCTCACAGAGGCTGGACACAGAACCAGACTTCCAGAGGGACCGAGAAACCATCAGTTAACGCTGGGGAAGTGAAGACAGGCAAAAGGGAACAAGTGGGCAGGCGTTCTGGGAGCCTGGGCTGAGGCCACCATGCTGTGCTTCCTTTTGCAGGTTGAGGCCTCTGGTGTCTACGCAGCCAGCAAAGAAGGCGGCCACAGGAGAGGTGCGTTGTCCCAGGCAGCCAGGGCAGGGGGACCTTGGGAGGCAGCCCACCCATTTCTTCCTGGGCCCAGATGCTTGGTCTGTGAGCACAGGGAGAGCAGGCCTGACAGAGGCACCTGCCCCTTTGCTCCACACTGGCCTGGCGTGGCCAGAGAATCGAGGCCCGAGGGCGGGGCTCCTGGTTGCTGGAGCAGGAGCGGGCAGGAAGTGGGGACCGTTGTGTGCCTCCTGCTCAGCGCTCGGGCCAAGGGTGAGCAGCCTTGCTGTGGGCCTGGTGCTTGCAGGGAACCTGTATGTAGGAAGCAGGCACTGCCAGGTCACAGGGCCCAGCCCTTCAGGGCTCAGGGGTCTTTTATCTGGACTGTCATTTTTTGGTGACTGGTCTGGCCCAGGAAACCAGGGAGCAGCAGGGAGGGTCCCAGTGCAGCTGAAGGTGCTGGCGGGTTGCGGCCCCGGCAGCTTCTGTCTATGTTCTGGGGGCCAGGCCAGGCCAAGCCCCCCGGGGGCAGAGGCCACAGTGTCCTCGGCCGAGGCCTACGGTCTGGAAAGGCGTTCTGCGTGCTCCCCGAGCGCTGGGGTGGGGCCCAGTAGGGTATAGGAGCAGGGGCTGGCAGAGGCCTGAGGGTGGCATCTTGATGCTGACACAGCTCACGGTGCAGCCACCAGGAGGCCAGAAGGAGCCAGTGGGCCTGGGAGCCCTGGCCAACCCTGCGACCCGCTGGAGGGGCAGGAGTGGCTGAGCATCCTGGGCCCGCCCTAGGGGGTCTGAGGGGTCTGTTGCGAGGAAGTGCTCCCAGCTCTGTGTGTATCCAAGCCCTACTTCATTCCAGGCTTTGCTCCCAAGCTCTCCCGCCCTCAGAGCTGAGCCTGCCAGGCCCCAGGCGGTCCTGGTGGAGAGCGGGCCTGTGTCGTACCATGCTGATGAGGAGGCTGACGAGGAGGAACCTGACGAGGAGGACGGGGAGCCCTGCGTCAGTGCCCTGCAGATGATGGGCGGCAATGGTGGGTGGGGCCCGACAGCTGGGAGGGCTTCAGGGGAATTAAAGGCATCAGCTACTACCCCTCATGATCCCTGAACTTGGGCCTGTTGGCTTCAAGTTGAATTTCTGTTTCTCCCTGGAAAGAAATTTGAACTAAGACATTTTGTAAATTGGTCATGTCGATTGTGAGGTTGGAGCCAGCCAGGGTCAGAGAGGCTAGGGACAGTGAGGTACCCACCATGAGGGCCGCCCAGCCAGCAGCATGAGGTTCCCGGGTCTGCCCACTACCGTGGACCTGCACGCCCAGGGAGGGAGGCTGAGGGAGCCCATTCTGCTCTCAGGTGCCCTCAACAAGGAGCGAGGCCCTGCTCTGGGTGCATGCCAGTCCCAGGAGGTGGAGAGGAGCCCAAGATGGCTCCTGGCAGGGCACGGGGACCACAGCCAATGGGGCTGGGGCCGGAGTCTCCTGGAGGGGTACCAGGAACAGGGTGAGGGGGAGGGGCTCTGGGCTTCATGACTGTGCTCTTCTGCAGACTACGGCTGTGACGGCGATGAAGACGATGGCTACTGAAGCGTGGCCTCCAGGCAGGTGGCATCCTGGCGGGGGGCCTCACGGGTCTCCTCAGCATCAGACGGGCTTACAGGACCGCAGCAGGCAGGCCCCAGCACCAAGACTCCTGGTGACAGGTGGCACCTGCTCCACAGCCCTGTCCCCTGTGGAACTTGCCATTGGGATTGTGTTTCTATCCAGCAAGGGAAACCGGACCAAGCGTCTGCTTGTGTGTGATCAGATGTGGGCCTGGTGTGCACAGGGCTAGGTCCCGCTGCCTGCCGTCGACTCACCCAAGGACCCTCCAAGGCCGGCAGTGTAGTGTTGCTACTGGAAGGAAACAGGCTTAGGGCAGCCCCACTGCTGGTCCACGTGTGGGAGGGCTGAGTGTGCTGGCCCTGTGACTCAGGACCAGCTCTGGAGTCTCCAGCCACCCTCCGCACCATCCCTCCTGAGCGGTGCTCTGCACCGGTGGCCTCTGCCAGAGAGAAAGCTGGAGCCCTGCAGTTGTTTGGCGCAGCCGTGGGAGCTGAGGGTCTGGCACCTGAGAGGCAGCAGCTCTCCCGCGACCACGCTGTCTGAAGGTCCTCTGGCTCCAGCTGTGGCCCTGCATCCAGATACCTGCCTCCTCCAAGGCAGGCACCGCCACCCCTGCCTCCTCCAGACCCCTCCCACTGCCTGCACCGCCTGGAGCAGCATGGGGTTCAGACTTCTGCTTCAGGGACACTTGGGTTGTGTCCCCAGGAGCCCTGCGGCTGCCCGCAGATGAACTGAGTGCCCGACAGCTGAGACCGGCGCCCACCCGCCCTGAGCATAACTAGGCAGTGCGGGCGTGGCCTGCATAGTGTCCTGGTGTTGGGAGTGCCCCGTGGACAGAGCCAGAGGGCAGTGGTGCTCCCTGTCAGAGCTGGATCAGGTCCCCCATCCAGGCGGGAGGGCAGAGGGAGGCCCGAGAGCCTCCCCAGGGCCTGGCCTCTTCATGGAAAGGTCCCAGTACCACCCATAGGGGGTCTCAGCTCTGGCATGGCTGCCCTGGATGTGGCCAAGGAGGGGGCTTCACCCTGTGTCCCTAGGAGAGGGTGGCCTGGAGGCAGAGCTGTGCCACACTGACCCCCGGAGGCTGCATCCTCCCCATGGAATGGGCTGTTGTCCTGCCCCCACTTGGCCCACAGCAGGCCAGACCCCCCATACCCCCGCCCAGAGCTCAGCAGCCAGCCTGGGTCCTGCCAGGGCTTCTCGAAGGCTCGGGGGAAGAATAGATTTAGTAAAGCAGAAAGATCTGTGGTTACTTAACAGAAATCGCCTGAGGCTTGTTTGATTCCGTGTTGCGATCTGTGGCAGCGCCATGGCAGGTGCATCAGGGGCCACGTAGCGCCATGGCAGGTGCATCAGGGGCCACATAGCGCCAGCTGGAGCCAGCCCTTTGTGACCCGACCCGTGTCTCAGGTCAAGAACTGGGGCTGCTGGCTGCACGGCCTGGCCGTGGATTATTAGCCCCCGCGACCCAGAGGCTGCCCTGAGTGAGGGGTGTGGGGTCTTTAGGTCCCCCTGACTATTGCAGCAGCTGTGAGTGAGTGTGCATCAGCCTGGGCTGGACGTGGGCTGGGCATGAGTGTGCCACAGGGGACCGGGTGGACAAGCCCCTGCTTGGGCCCCCGCGCAGTGTGGGCACCGGAGGTGAGTGCTGTGAAGAGAGTGAAGCAGCAGGACCAGTCCACAAGGGCTTCACTGAGGCTGAGGTGACAGGAAGCAGCACCTGGGCCAGGGTGGGCGGGCCTGGGGGCCATAGCCGGCACCCAAAGCCCCCCAGGGAGGTGCAGGTGGGCTGTGGGGCCACAGGGCAGGGGACTTGGAGAGGGTGCTCTTAGAGGAACCCTGAGGACCAGCTGGAGGGGCTCCCGGCCTGGCAGGTGGCCACTGGGGCCGGGCCAGAGATGACAGCCAGGTGGCATGGAGGGGGGTTTTGTTGGAGGTCGAAGAGGGTGGATTTGGGGGGTGAAATGGGTGATACCTGCCACCAGATCTTATTTGAGGAGGAGACCAGATGTGTGGCTGAGGGGCACAGGCGAGGCAGGCAGTGCCCTGTGTGCAGGGATCCAGCCCTCGGCCTGGGTGCTGGGGTGCAGGGCTGGGGGCAGTGTCTGGCTCTCGTGGTGCTCTTTGCCAGGCTGTGGGGCCCCAGGCGCAGGTGGGCTGCAGCTCTGCAGGAGGGAAGGAACCTCATCCGGGGAGACCTGCTTTGGGGGCAGTTGGGTGTTGGAGGGAGGTTTTCAGGACAGACAGCTCTGGCTGGGCATTTCCACTCGGGAGGCCAGGAAAGAAGGTTTCCACGCTGCGTGTGCAGGAGCAACTGGGCACACAGGTATAGGATATTGGCTGAAGGGCCTGCCTGAGGCTGGAGGGAGGGGAGGGCCGGGGGAAGGGGAGGCCCAGGAGACAGTGGCTGTCCACCCTTTGCGGGGGTCGGGTGGGGCTCGGGGGCTGGGGCGTAGGAGGGAGAGGATGGCTGGGGTGTGGGGCTGAGGGGCATAGGCGGGGCCAGACGGTGACCAGTGTGCCCGAGTCAAGCCCCACAGCAGCTGGTGGGACATCTCTGGGCTGGTGGAGGAAAGACTTCCCAGAGAGGGTGCGGTGTGGAGCAGAGCGTCCGGGTCCTGGAGCCGTGGGGACCTGTGCCACACAGACACTTGGGTGGCCAAGGTGCTGAGGCGCTGTGGCCCTGGAGCCGTGGGGACCTGTGCCACACAGACACTTGGGTGGCCAAGGTGCTGAGGTGCTGTGGCCCAGGAGTAGACAGCCATGGTGGCCGGGCGCCTTTGGGTGCTGGCCTGAACCCTGGGTTTGGGCTTTCCCTGCCATGAGTTTAGAGCTCAAGGGGTGCATTCAGGTCTGTATCCCTCGGTCCCGTAAGTGGCTTGGGGGCCACATCTCCCAACCCAGAGGCTGACAGGCCTGAAGCAGTGCTTGGCCAGCTGTGACCCTGCAGCTGCACGGGGCCTGCCAGCATGCCCAGCAGCAGCTCGGGCACCTTCTGCCTGGGCCCTTCCCAGTGCCAGGACCAGACCATGCTGCAGCCTCAGGGAAGGGGGAGCTCAGCCTTTCAACTCCACCTCAATGTTCTTAGCCCAGCTTGCTAGCTGTTCCCTTGAATGCTGCCTTCTGGGCTGGGCCTGCCAGGCACGCACACCCCAGCCTTGAGCAGCCCCCGCCGCCGCCTGCTGCCTGCTCAGAGCAGGACCATCTGAGGCTGTTACGAGCTGGCTTAGGGACCTGGTGTTTGGTGGCCACCACCACCCCATGGATACCAGGTTCCAGTCCTGACGGGACTGGAGAACAGCCAGTTGGGGGCTCAGTGGTCCAGGGCTTTGTGAGAGCATGTGTCCACCTTTGGGGGTGCCTGGGAGAAGTGGTTTGCACAGCTTCATAGAGTGAGGGGGTGGGGCCTCTGGGGCTCAGGGCTGGGTCAGGCCCAAGGCTCCGCCACAGCCAGCCTTGAGCTCCCTTGTCTTGGTCCCAATGTTCTGTGCCTGAACGGTTCCTCCTTTGCAGCCCATGGAGCTGGGGGTGGGGAGAGTCCCCTGGAGGGATCCCCTTAAGCCACAGAGTTGGTGGGTGGGGCACAAGATCTGACCTTTCCCCTCCTCTGGGCTCCTTGCCAAGTCCTTAGGGATGTCTGCCCTGTGACCTCACTCCCTGACCCAGAGAACAAGCTGGGCCATGCCCCACACCCCGTACCCCAAGTGCAGCGGGGCTGCCATGCCCACACCCCGTACCCCAACTACAGAGGGGCTGCCATGCCTGCCCACAATCCCTGTATCCCAACTGCAGAGGGGCTGCCATGCCCACACCCCATACCCCAACTACAGAGGGGCTGCCATGCCCACACCCCGTACCCCAACTGCAGCGGGGCTGCCATGCCCACACCCTGTATCCCAACTACAGAGGGGCTGCCATGCCTGCCCACACCCCGTACCCCAACTGCAGAGGGGCAGCCATGCCCACACCCCATACCCCAACTACAGAGGGGCTGCCATGCCCATACTCCATACCCCAACTGCAGCGGGGCTGCCATGCCTGCCCACAATCCCCATACCCCAACTACAGAGGGGCTGCCATGCCCACACCCCCGCCCATGCCCCACACCCCTACCCCAACTACAGAGGGGCTGCCATGCCCCACCCCCTACCCCAACTCAGAGGGCTGCCATGCCCCACACCCCATACCCCAACTGCAGAGGGGCTGCCATGCCCACACCCCGTACCCCAACTACAGAGGGGCTGCCATGCCCACACCCCGTACCCCAACTGCAGAGGGGCTGCCATGCCCACACCCTGTACCCCAACTGCAGAGGGGCTGCCATGCCCACACCCTGTATCCCAACTACAGAGGGGCTGCCATGCCTGCCCACACCCCGTACCCCAACTGCAGAGGGGCTGCCATGCCCTACACCCCGTACCCCAACTGCGGAGGAGCTGTCATGCCTGCCCACATGCTCACTGGCTTTTATTCTGCCCCATACTCATTTGGCCCCGCCATATGGGTGTGGACCACACTGTCCAGGGGAGGGACAGGCTGGGCATCTGCACCCCTGACTTTGGCTTCCTCAAGTCCCTGCAGGGGCACTGGTTGTCTCCAGGCCTTCCTGAGCGCAGGTGCTTGGCAGGAGACTCCAAGCGCCAGAGGGAGTAGATCCCGTGTCTAACACAGCTGACAACGGATGACCCGGCAGCCTCTGTCTGGCGCTGAGGAGTGAGTATGGCCAGCATCCCTCCACAGCTGGCTGCTTCACGTTGGGTGGCGCCTGGAGCCTTCCCCTGTGGCGTGGAGTGAGGTTGGGACCACCGGCTGATGGGCAGGTCGGCAGCTTCAGAGTCAGGCCCCGGGCAGGCCCAGCCCGGCTGCTGCTCCCAGTGTGGCCAGACACTCTCCCTTCCCCACTGGCCTGAGCTGCCTGCCTGGGCTGAGTGTTCAAGGCAGGCTGGCATCGGCCCAGAGCTGCCAAAAGCAGGGGCAGGGCCTCAAGGACAGAAGGGTGAGTAGGGGCTGCAGAAGGCAGTGGCCCCAGCCCTGGCAGTGTGTCCTTGTGGAGACTGGCTGGATGTTTAACTTGAGGCCCGGTCCCTCCAGCTGCTGTCCTGGGCGGCTTCTCTCCCTTCTGGTGCCTTGGGGAGGGGTGCCCCTGCAGGCTCAGGGCTGCAAAGCTGGAGCATTGCTGGGTGGGAGGGGGCACCTGCATGGCCTCTCTCCCCGCCCCTGGCCTCCCACCACATGTCTGAGGCTCTGCAAGGGTAGAGGGCAGCAGTGGGCCCCGCAGGAGAGGGCCACAGGGCCAAGGAACCCCAAGGACCCTGGATGGGCAGAGCTGGGCCCTGGAGAGCCTCTGCTGGCACTGGAGAGGCAGAGCCCTGGAGGTTCTCCCGTGGCCCGGGGCTGTCCCCACATGTGGCAAGATCTATTTCAGGCTGGGAGTGTGACTGGCAGCCAGCCGCCGTGGTCTGTCTGCCAGGGATACCCCAACTTCCCCAGCCTCCCACAGTCCCCAGGCCTCCTCGTGTGCCCGCACTGTGCTTGGCGTGCACCAGCCAGGGGCCGGCCCTCTGGGAATGCAGCATGTCTGTGTGTGAGTGCGTGCATCCATGAGCACATGCATATGCCCGGGCAGCCTTGGAGCATCCTGGACCCCTGTCCTAGCGTGGAGTTTGGTGGTGTGTGCTGGGAACTTTGTTGGACCAAGGGCCGGGACCCAAGACCAACCAGGCCCCTGTTCACCGCTCCCACCCCAGCTCAGCACATACCGCTCAGGGCCAGGGGGCAGGAAGCACGGGTGTCCAGCCCAATTTCAGGTGGGGCATAGTGGGCAGGTTCTGCCCATTCATGCAGCCACAGAGCTTTCCTGGGCAGTTTTCTGCCCTCCACCAAGTCCAAGTCACCTTTGCCCACATGCCAGAAGTGACAGCAGGGCAGGGGCTGAGGGCCACACGGGCTGCTGGCTGCTGGCTGCTGGGCTAGGGTCAGCCAGCCAGAGAGAGGATGGAGCCGGCAGCCTCAGGGGCACACACGTGCAGGCGTGTGACCATCCACAGAGAAATGCATAATGCTTTTACGTACGTATGCCTGTGCACACATCACATGTGAGTGCCCTTGCACATGGTGGTGGGATGGGTGCGAGCAGACGTGCATGCAGACGAATGTACATACGTGTACACGCGTACTGGGTGTGCATGAATAGCGGGCATGTAGGAGGATGTGGTGTGTGCATGGAAGGGCAGACAACTGGCCCCAGTCCACACTACATGGTA